GAGGATTAAAAAAGAATAATTTAAAAAATTAAAAAGATTCCATTGATTTTAAGATGGTATCCTATTTCAGAGTCCTAACATGAAAAAAATTTGCACCTTAGAATCCATGAAATGAAATATTATAAGGTCTGCTTTCTATAATTTCGATCATTTTATCTAGTTTAAATAACCTTTTTTAGTCACCATTTGGGAATGAACATATAATACTTTAATAAGGAAGGAAAAAAAAATTGAAATATGAAAAATACTCAAACTTAAAATCATCAGATATCATTACCATATTAAAACTAGGAGAGAAAAAAACAAACAAACAGGAGAATATCCCTGAAACACTTCAGAAAATGTCACTCCATCAGGAAGTAAGCATAACTAAGTAGAATGTTTGAGATTCCTAAAATGATCCTAATTAAAATGGCCAAATACCTCATTTAGATGCCAAAGAGCACTTTTTATGATAATGTGTTTCTGAGGCTTAATTCATAATTTTCTTTACTAAATCAAACTTTGATTCACAAGTCAAAAAACACACTGGTCATTTAAAGTGATTTATAAAGTCTAAAATATAGTCATTTATATTCATTAATTCAGAAAATAAGAGCTTACTTTGGAGATTTGACTCATCTTTCAATCAAGGACAGGCCTAAACCTTTATTCTAGGGCCCTAAAACTTTTATCTAGCAGTTGAAATAAAACATGATTTAGAGCACACCAAGATTCTCTCATCTTCAAAAAGTGTTAAACCAATATAGACAGATTAACAACTGCAATAATTTTCAAGTAAACTTGGATTAACATTCAAGCTATTTTTAAAAAATGAATTTAAGTATAACAGATGCATTCATGATATAATACTACATCTGAAAGATGATTAACCAGAATACCTTTAGGTAAGATTCAGAGTAAAATAAAAGTGTTTTTTCCAACAGAGCAGATGAAATATTACCTAGATCTTGTCTTGGCAAATAAGACTGCTCCATTAAATCTTGGGTCTCAGACTTGGTCGGTTGTTGCTCCAATACATCAACACTCTCAATGAGCTCCTTTTGAGGTGGGCGGTTTCTGTTCTGAAGGCTCTGTGAGTGGCTCGGCACATACCACCTATCATCTAACAACTGGGATGTAGAAGGAGAAGATCTGGCAAAGATGAAAAGAGAAAGTTATCACCACAGCTCATGAAAGGATTTATCATACTTCCCAGGCAGCCAAAGCATAAGTGAAACAGCTCATTGTTGGAGAGACACCCAAGTGATGGACTAGAAGTCTGGATTCATGATGTCTGCCAACATGTCAGGGTTGACACAGAACATCTCCCCTTACGGTCTGGTCTGAGGCAGTAAGTGTGTCTCCTACCTGTTTAAAAGCATGCCAGCAAATTTCAGCAAATTATCTACTACCACTTACTCAAATTCTATAAAATAGAAAGTCTATTCCACTTGGGTCCCCATGGATGTGTTAGAATCACATCTTCTCATGAAAGTAAAAAGTTAATGATTAATTTTGACATCGCTACACTCATTCTTTCTATATCCAATTTCAGTAAAATTCACAGATTCATCCTTATCTCCTGCCTTTTCAATGTCGAATCATTCTGAAAACAAAAGCCAGCTATAAAACACTGTTAGAAGAGTCTATGCACACAGTAATTCCTTTACTCTTTCAGGTTTTAGGACTTTGCTGGTTAAGATACTTAAAAGATTTAAAGGACGTCAGAGATCAGCTCAATTCAATTAATTCAAACAAATATTAGGTATTTACTAAGAGTCAGGCACTAAAACTAGGCGTTGTGGATTAAAGATGAGGGAGACCTAAACTGCTGCTCTCAAGTCGTCTAGCAGGAGGAAGTTCAATCAAATGTGTAGGTTCTTTGACAGAAGTCTCTTAGGGGGAGGGGGAGGAAGAGCAGAAATATTGGTATGAATATTAAATGGGTGCTTAGCTCAACTAGTTAAAGCGTGGCAATGAAGTCATTACCTTTAAACATAGGTTTAGTGCCTTTGGAGGCCAGATCTTTTAATTCTGTCACAGCCTTAGTGCCAGTACCCCAGACTCAAAATATCCTCAGTCCAGTCCAAGAGGTTTGGAAAATATGGTGTGATTAGATTTTGAAAGGAGAAACTTGTCACTATTCCCAGAAAAAGAAGTAAAAATGTACATATACTCATCAGTAGGAGCTCAATAAATATAAATTCCTTTTCCTTCCTAGAGAAGTGAGATGTGTGACTCTAATGTCTCTGAGATTCTCCTGAATCATCAAATAGGAACAACAGTCCAGAACTTGTCCTTTTATCTTCACAGTGTTGTTGTAAAGATCAAATGAGCAAGTAGGTAAAGTATTTTTGAAAATATAAAGTACTATACAGTCTAATCTCAATAGTGATTTGAACAGACACCCCAAAGATACTGTGAATATTTCCTGGGGTAAATCAGTAAACTTTTTCCAGAAAGGCAAAACCTTCCCTTTAATTAGGGTAAGGGCTGCCTTGGAGAACTCTACCATTAGCCTCCATGTTTGTTAAGGTTTTAGTTCTAAGCTTTGTTCTGCCCTTCAGAAGGACAGATATACTGTGCATTTCTCATGTTGTAGCTCATGCCTTGTGTAGGTCCAAAAAGCCTATATATAATTACACAAAAGAAGTATCCTAGAGCAATGGGGTTGGAAATGTCTGCATACAAAAAACAAGTTTGGTGAAAAATATTTAAGAGTTCAATGTAAAGAAAGGTTTTACTTAGATACCACAATTTGACATTTATTACTTCTTACCTTTCCACTCCTGGCTCTTTATTTTTGTATCTGCTAGAACTATCCAGAGGCTCTTGAAACTTGTCTGCAGAAAGGCTTTCTGGATTCAGGCTTATAGGATATTCATTACTTTTCTCTGAAGTTAATACTGTTTTAAATGGAATGGGAAAACAAAGAAATTTACTGCTTTGTCCTGATGGTAATAATTCAGGTAAGTATATCAATTTTTTTCTTAATTTTTATTTATTGATTTTAGAGAGAGGAAGAGAGAGAGAGAGAGAGAGAGAAAGAAACATTGATTTGTCGTTCCACTTGTTTATGCATTCATTGGTTCATTCTTGTATGTGCCCTGACTGGGAATCAAACCCATAACCTTGGCATATCAGGACAAAGCGCTAACCAACTGGGCTATGCGGCCAGGGTGAGTATATTGATTTTCAAAAGCAGCAATCTGTGACAATCAAGTTGCTCTTTAAGCAAGTATATCAGACAGAATTTTATAAATACAAATGATCCTGCACCAAATGGAACTAAAAAATAAATAAAAGGAACACTTTAAGACTGGGTAACTAAAGATACTCAACTGAGAAAGGGTTATAAAAAAAAAAAGTATAGGGAGGAAGCCTCAGACATACAGATATTAAAGAGTCATTCCATCACATTTGAACATTTAGCATACGAGTTCCTCTTTGCACTACAATGGGGTCAAGCTAGGAAGAAAATAAGCTAATCTCAGTTAGAATTCAAGTATTCAATAGTACCTAAAAACATAGGGCAAAATTTTTCTGTTCTTCTTTTCACTTAATCCATATTTCATAAATGCAGGGATCCAGAGCCCAAATACTGGGAGAGTACCATAGTACCCCTTAAATAATTTCCTCATCTGGGGATCTTAACATGTTATATATTATATTTTTCATGGGTAGGGAATATGGGCCAGAGCTAATCTTTAATAAATTTACTGACTGCCTATTATGTGCAAAGTATTGGGAGAATCAAAGGAAAACACACTGGGAAGAAGGAAAGAGATATTAAGAAATGATCAACTATAAAGAACCCATAAGGAAATACAGCTTTAAAAAGCATATAACTCATCCACCCAGTTGATTCAGAATTTCTAGGAGAGGAGCATAGGAATTTTTAACAAGTGCTTCCAGGAATGAATATACTACAAGACAAAAAAAGCCCTGATGTATCTAAAAATCACTTCCACTGTAACAGGCTATAGTCTTATAAATGCTAATATTTGCTTTCTGAATGACAGGTAATCCAGGAGAAAAAAATGACAAAGTGCCTGATATGAAATAACTTTACCAGCAGAGGGAGGTACACATAATTTATAATGGGTAGATACATGTGCACAAAAATATTACGCAGGCTTGGAACTGACACTTAGATAAACAGTAGGGCAGAACTATGCTGAGGGCAGGACATTTGATGCAAAGACCCTAGAACAATGAGTAAGTTTATTACAAAAGATAAAGTAAAACCTCCTAATAAAAATGCAAAAATGTTTTATATAGAGATTCATAAGAAATTTTCAAAAAGGTTTTCAAATCCATGCTAAAAATGTATACAAATATAACATTTATAAAATTAAAAAAAAAAAAAAGGCCACAAAGAAACATTTTGTCTACAGATCTTCAGGAAAAAATAAACACCCCTCCCCTAAAAATGAGATAAGATTTACACATATGATCAAAGCCAGACAATAACATTTTATAAGCTGTGCATAAAAATGAAAAGTCTAGTCTGTTTTTAGACCGAAGATGGGGAAAGCACCTCAAAGAGAATTGTGCTGGGGACTAGACTTTGGGCTTTATTGTCTGGGAGATGAAATAAATGAAGATACAGCTACAAAGAAAGCATTTAAGGAAATACATTCGAACCACTGCCATAGCAACAGAGTTCCTAACTTCTTATGTATAAGCTACTATTTCTCCTTGAACATAAAAATATAGCAAGGCACACTCCCTGACCAAGGCCACAATTCTGAATAATTAAGACCTGGTGCCTAACCTCTCATCTACTTGGCTACATATTTGCCCCTATTTAAAAACCTGCCCAATGTACTGTCTTTCATAATGCTTTTTTCAACTAAATACTCAAAATTTCATCTTACTATCCTTCATTTATGCCATGTTATCCCTCAGCTCAGAGATCACTTCTTACAGGAAGTCAGCTCTGATCAACTCCATCTACCTGGTCATTCCAAATGCCTTCTTAGAGATACATCTAGTCTTGTTGGTAACTATAATGTTGGGATAAAGCACCTGATTCTACCACATAATTGGGTTTTCTGTGGCTCAAGATGCAGTTCTTCAAGTAAAGTGCATCTCTACATATAAACCAGAAAGCACATTGGATAGGGCTTTGTGATCTGACACCTGGGGTATAAAGAATATGAGTGTTTTACAAGCTTTCTAAAATCATGGGGTTACCTATTTCCAGTCTCTCCCATTGCACTCAACTTCCTATGGGCTCCTCATAGCATCTCCTCATTGTAGGTATTCAGTCAGACAATGACACTTAATGGCTGTCTCGATCTCTCTGAATGGTAAATTAGTTGTAAGCAGGGACTAGAACCAAGGCTCTAAAATTATCCATGGAGTGACTCAGAAAATATATGCTGAGCAAAGATCATAATATGTTCACATTAGATCCACATTTTTCTGGAGATAAAGGCTTAGGGCGGGGAATAATTTTGCTTAAGAGGAATTTGGCCAGTATTACAAACCTTTTTCTGATGTGTTTTGTTCCAGATTTAGTAGATCCTCAGAAGCACAAGAATCAGCTATGAGGGAAGGGGACTTGTCATAAGGCTGGCTCTCCTGCTGCTCTAACACAGCTTTCAGTTGGTCCATTTCCTGCTTGATCTTTATCAGGTTATCTTGCATGGTATCCCTCTGCTACAGACACAAAAGATGACACCAAGAAAGTTACACTTTCAGAAATTTGCCAGAACACAAGAATATGTCATACCAATTAATTTTAACATGGGAATTAAAATCACCTACTATGGAATTATAAGTTCTGGCCGAACACCTTTTAATCCAACCATATTAATGCAATTAATACCCATGAAATTATTTCAGACTGCTGTTAAAGGAGGAAAAAAATTCCTCACTCTCCCAAATGGACTTGCTTTATTGTGATGTCCTTTTGAAGTTGATTACTTTCTTTTAAAAGCTCAGGAATGAAAAAATAATTAAGGTGTTTAAACACTTTTAAAAAAAAAAAATCTTTATTGATTTCAGAGAGACAAGGGGAGAGAGAAAGAGAGAGAGAGAGAGAGAGAGAGAAAAACGTCAATGATGAGGGTTGTCATTGACTGGCTGCTTCCTGCACTCCCCCGATTGGGGATTGAGCCTGCAAGCCTAGCATGTGCCCTGACCGGGAATCGAACCGTGATCTCCTGGATCCTAGGTCGATGCTCAGCCTCTGAGCCATGCTCAGTCGGGCAAGGTGCTTAAACACTTTTGGTATTTAAAATTAGCATGACTCAGTTAACATTTTACATAGCCTGTGTTTCAAAGGTTTAGTATTGTGGGACTCATAAGAGATTTGGGTTAGTTCATATAAAAATGTGATTTCTGGCTTGTGAGGACGCTTCTTTTTCTAAGATTCTTTGAACATTTAGTTTCTAACAGAAAGAAGAAAGAGCTAATTCATTAATTTATCTATTTGTTCATCCCATAACTATTTGTTGACCATCTATTATATGTCAGACACTGTCCTAGTGCTGGGGATATGGCCTGCATGGTGCTGCCATTCTAGATGGGGAGAGAACTTCAGAGAGAAGGATCTGTTAGAGAGAAGGAGCCAATAGAAACAGCCCTAGGAAAGCCTATAAGGACAGTTAATGTTTCCAACTTAAGACAAGAGGCTCTTCTTTGCTTATGGGGCTCATGTTTATTTCTCCATTTCAAAAAGAAATCTGTGCCCTGGCCGGGTAGCTCAGTTGGTTACAGCATCGTCCTGATACACCAAGGTTGTGGGTTCAATCCTGTGTCAGGGCACATATAAGAATCAACCAATGGATGCACAGAATAAGTGGAACAACAAACCAATGTTTCTCTCTCTCCCCCCTCCTCTCTCTAAAATCAATAAATTAAAAAAAAAAAACCTAAGGCTAAAATAAAAAAAATTAAAAGAAAAAGAAACCTGCTAAGTATAAAGGTTTTCTTTCTTTTTTGTTGTTCTCACGTTTTCTTCTTTCTTGAGTCTAAGATTTTTGATAAGCAAAGTATTTCACAATTAAGGAGATTTACAAAATATACCCTTCTTCATTACTTTTAAAAGGAACATCAATGGCTGCCAGCAAACCCTGGGGAAACAGATTGTTTCACCCTCTGTTTCTTCTTCTGATCCTTGAAAATGACTGCCCTCCACTAAAAACTAGCCATCTACTTTCTCCTGCTACACTGAGTTCTTAGTTTTCAGGTTTTTATGGCCATAAAATGTATTCCCAGCTTCACAAAGGCTTTCAATGCTATGCTGAGATTGTTTTGCTGCCAATGGCCGCAATAGCGCCATTGCCACCACGTGGTGCTTCTGAGTAGTTCCATTACTGATCAAGAAGGGCTTGCCTAAGTATATCTGGAAAGAAATCACAGATATCCGTAAGCTTCAGAAGCTGTTCTAGACACTGCTGTCACAACCATCACATTTCACCTCTATGTGGTAATTAAATCGGTTAGAAAATCAGGAAAAAACAGTAATGGAAGAATTAGATAACTTTCCTTTGTGTTTTCCCAAAGGAATGACTTTATAATTTGGACAATTCCCCCGTAGGCAATTGGCCAGATATATTTGGGAGACCAAAACCAAATTGGTTACCAAGTTTCCTTAATTGTAATTCTTAAGTGTTTCTTAAATTAGCTCTATTTCTTTTATTTTCCACTATGCTGCTCTGATCCTTACTTTTATTATTTTTTTGAATTGTCATAAGATTGTATTTGAGCCAAACTGACAACAGTTGCCAGGAAGCAAGATCTCAAATGCTTCCTGCTCTCTACATTTTTTTTTAATCCTAACTGGAGAATATTTTTTTCCATTGATTTTTTAGAGAGTATGGAAGGGAAGGAGGAGGAGGGGGAAGAGAGAGAGAAAAACATCAATGTGAGAGAGACACATCGATTGGTTGCCTCCCACACACACTTGGACCAAAGCCAGGGATTGAACCTGCAACCAAGGTATGTGCCCTTGACCAGGAACTGAACCTGCGATTCTTTGGTCCATGGGATGACGCTCTAACTACTGAGCAAAACTGGCCAGGGCCTGATCTCTACTTTTAATACAGACAGCTACATTACTGTGGAAGTTCCTTAAATGCATGTTTATCATGTCTTTTTCTTCCATAAGGACCTTGGTGGTATACCACTGCTCAGATAAGGTAATGCATTCTGAAAACTAAATAATTATTACTCATTATAGCCCTCAGGATAAAGTCCAAATTCCTAAGCGGAGCATTCAAAAGGCCCTTCATACCTTCTTATCTTTTATTTCCCCCCCAAACCACCATATGCCATTTGCTAGTCACACAGAACAACTTTGTGCTTCCTGGGCATTTTATGCCTTTGTGCCTTTGCCTGGATTGCTGCCTCCCTTCTCTTTCCACCTGGAAAAATTCTTCTCATCTTTCAAGGCCCAGTTTGAATGTATCCTTCGAAAGTCCCCACCAACTGACGATCCCTCACTATTTCATTTATACTGCTAATGCATTAGTATACCAAAGTGGAATGCATGACCCTCCTTTGATACAGTAGTGCTTTCACATATGTTTTTGCTATAGGGCAAGTGGGTTTCAAAGGTTTAGCTTATTCATTAACTTCGGTATCTAGTGTTCTGCAGTGAGCTCAGTGGTATGTATGAGAGTACATATGAAATAAAAGGTAGCATGACTTCAGTCCAGGTGATTACAATCTAATTTGAGGAGACAAGATACCACACATGACTGTTATATCATTAACTCTAAGGGATGATAAAAGCAAATGTAAGAATGCGGGATGCATACTACTGAATGCACAAGACATCACACACACATCCACACATGCTTTTTACCTGAGTCGTTAAAATATCACTCTGAGAGGACAGCTCCGAACAGTCTTCAGAGAGGTTTGTTTCATTCTCATACTCAGATGCTGCTTCATCTTAAATGATAATAAAAATAGAGATTCAGATGTAAAAACAGACAGCAAATTCTGCAATTTGCTATCTGTTTCTTCCCATTGGCAGGACAAGTATCACTTTCATGTCACAGAAAATGATTACACGCCTTGTTTTGGGACACCTTGATTTCCTCTAGAAATCCTAACAATGAAAACCAGAAGCAAGTCCACTGACAATTAGTGCAATAAATCTCATTCAAATAGAGATGTTCTAGCTACGCGAAGGACTTTTAAGGAAAAGCACCTTAGGAGGAACATGCTTAAAGTTTAAGAAGCACTTACTTTAATTGTATTTGGAAACTCGTAAAATGTGCTCCCCCAAAGCCAAAAACATTTAGCTCATTTCTGTAAAATACCTAAGTTTGAATCGGCACTCTGCTCTTCTTGACTATTCTCTTCGAGGCCAGTTTCCCTTTCATCATCTGAAATCAATTCCTTGTCACTCAGAACTTCCTGGTTTTCAGGCTGACACTTCACTTGCTGGGAAGGAGGCTCAAACATCAAGAAAGGATCCTGGGTGTTTGTATTAGTGGTCAAGTCTTCTGATGCACTGTACTGTGAGGAAAATAAGCTCCTAGAACATCTCGCTTCCTCACTAAGGTGATGTTTCTGGGATGCCTTTGCAGACATCACCTGGTTACTGCAGTTATTTAAGCTACTCTTTAATGATATTAGGTTCTCCTCTGTTTCCTTAGACAGACGTGTGGCAACAGCATTATGTCTGGTAGATGGAGAAGGTATATTGGTTACTTTACCAAATAGTAAGTGTTGGAAACAAGGAAGCTCTTCATCCTCACTAGACATGTCCTCTTCTGAGGACTCTAATTTTCTGGCCCTCCTTTGGTGATGTTGAGTCAAATGTGTATTGGCTAAGGGGCTAGGGCTCCTTCTGAATTCTTCTTTCTGGACACTTTTGCTAAAAACAGCAGATCTTTCCTTAACATCACTTTCATCAAAGCTGCTCTTCTCCTTTATTTCATCATCATTTAACAAGTCATCTGGTGTCTCAGAACAAACCTGAGAAACAGAATTACTTCCCATAGGTTGTTCTAGGTTATCTGAAATTTGACATGGAGAGAAATATGCACTAACAGCCTGAACTACTTCTTCATTTTCTCCTTGCGATTTTATTTCAGGATGTTTACAATTACTTATAGGAAGGCTTGGCTTATAGACTTCAGGCTGCATGAGACCTAGTCTGAGCATAGCATTTAATTTTGATCCTCTATTTCTATCTAGTTCTGCTTGAATATTTTCATCACTGGAACCTACTTCATTGATACTAGAGCCTACTTCATTAGTACTACTTGAGCTGCCATCTTTAAAAGCACTCTCTCTGTTATTTAGGCTAATTGGGCTCACTGTACTTTGAATGTCCTCATTTCCCATTGCTCTTTCAGGTGGGGACACTGAATGTTCCTCAAACTTTTCTTCTGACAGGTTTCTCTTACTTACAGTTTTAACAAATGACCTGATGGAAGAAATGGATGGTACATGATATGGGTTTTGTGAAATTCTGTGTTTATCTGCAAGAGTGAGTTCAGTTTCATTGCCTCTGAACTGAGATAACTGACAAAGCCTAGAGGTTCCTTTTATGCTATATTTGGCATACTCTCCTGGCTTTTTGTCTTTCTCACAAGCCACAGGAAAGCCTGCAGTTGTGTGAACTGCCTGCACATGCTTGATTTTAGATTCTTCCTCTTCCTGATTTTCTTCTTTTTGTCCACAATCAAGAGTGACTTCTGGACTTTGTTTCCTTAAGGACCTGGAGTGGGCATAGTCTGCTGCACATTCCTTTTCCGGATTTGAAAACAGAGCAAATGACTGACGCTTTGAAACCTTGAATGTATTCTGTAAATATTGTGTATCAAGTTCACTCTCTTCCATTTCTATGCTTGTCTCCTGAGAGTGGTTAACTTCACATCTCAACAGATCCTTAAAGCCCTCTCTGTTATTTTTTGTATCTTTAGAACCATAGATAAGCTCATTGGGGTTTTTAATTGCTGTACACAGACCCGCACATTGATTTGGAGCTGCTTCTGCCTCCCCTGCAGTGTCAGGTTCCAGTAATGAGACACTATCCTGTGTGCCATAATCAGTTTCAGGTACCAATACAACATTGGTACTCTCCATAGATCCATCAGTTTGCAAACTTCTTCCCCCACTTAGCAACGAGTCTTTGGCACCATTAGGCATCTGAATTGTTCCCACATCCCCTTCTAGTTCTTCTCTTTGAGGGTCAGGATTGACTGACTCTTGAAGTTTACTAGTACTCGAACCATTAGTGAAAAAACCAGGTATGTTTGTTAAATTCAGTTCTGGAAAAGCATCATTAGCAAGTTTTTTATTTATTTGTTCATTTGACTTGTTACTCTTCCTGGCTCCAGTTGCAGATTCTTTACCTTCCATGAGTTGGCACTTTTGGCTGTGTCTGACTGGTACTTGGTCAGAATTTTTTTCCTTCATCTCTTCACTGCTAGAACAACTATCAATTTGTAGTTCAGTATGACCAGGTGGGCTTAGATTTCTATTGACTACTAGTTCAAGTGCATAGATATGCCTGGTAGAGGACTTCCTCTTCAGCCTGTTCTTCCTAGGTGCTTTTGAGCTGTGGGTATTTAATTCTAGTTCCATACTGCTTACGCTGCTGCTTATAGGTTTGGCTTTAGTTGTGAAAGCAGATTCTTTTTCCACTGATTCTGTTGGGTTAGCATTTTTCTCTTTCTGAACATAATCACCTTTTGTTTCATTGTCAGGATGATTATTAGTAATATTCACCACATGACCACTCTGCTCTACTTGGTCTGTTCCCTCAATTATCTTTTCAGGAGTCTCTTCAACAACTGCTAAATCTACTTTCTTGATAAAATCCTCAGGATGAAGGCCTGATGTACTCCTCCTTTTACGCTTTAGTTTATTTGTGAGGGGACACTCTTGTGTTATCTGAGGCTCTATAGCAGATGCTCCAATAATTAGATTTTCAGTTATGTGGCTCAAGTTAGGGAGGCTTGCCTTCCTCCGATAGGTTTTCCCAAATATTTTATCTTCAATATTACTTTCTACTGGTTTGGAGTGGACTCTTTCACTTTCACAGATTAAAGCACCATGAGGATCACGGGCCATTAAGGTTATTTTCTCTGAAGAACCAAAATATCCATCTCCTTCATTTGGAACTTCTACTGCACCAGCTACTTCAACATTTGACTCAGATGTCCCATTATGTGAGCCATCAGAAGTTAATATTTCATCACGTCTGGAAAACCACTCATTAACTTTCTGTATGCTACTATTCCGTGTTATCCAAGGAAAATCTTGGGAATCTCTAGGATGGTCAGAGCATGGAGGTTCTTTTCTCTCATTCAGAGGATCAGCATTCAGAACTACCCTTTTCTCTGTTCTGGGATTCTGCCTATCATTACATGTTTCTTTACTTTCAGCCCATCTGCTCTGCTGGCTCCTTGCTAAGCCAAGCTGCTTGCTTTTATTACAGAATTCAGCCTTTTCTACATTCATTCTGTCTTTAGTGAGTAGTAAACTGCTGTTCTCATGCTGTAACAACGATCTGGCATGAGTATCTGTGCCGCATGGCTCCACATGCAAGTTTGAAACAGAAATACCCTGATACTTTTCTATATGCTTCTCAGTTGCATGCTTCTCCATGGTGGTCAAATCTTTATTACTAGATTGATGATGTTCAATATTTATTATGTCCTCAGAAAACTCATAAGCAGCTGAAAGTATACAAAAACAACAGGTAATTAACAACTGAAATTATCATGAAAAAATACTTAATACAACTTGGGGGTAGAAATGAAACAACTGGCTATTTTCAGAGAAACTATCCTTTAAACAGCCAAGTATACTGAAGATGTAGCCCATACCCTCTCATGTAATTCCTTTTACTGTATTCTCATTAGTTCTACTCAAGATAATTAAAATTTTAATTTCAGAATTCTCCTTCCTCATAAACCACACTTCCTATTTCCCTAACCTGTAATAGTGAATTAAAAGCAGACTTTGGGTATCAGACATACTCTGTTCCATCTTCAGACTCATACTCCCTATATTTAAATACCAATATGAAAAAGATGAAATATAAACACATAAATTTAAAGTAAAAGGGTACTGTTACATCAGTCTAGTGCCACTGAAATAGATCAGGCTGTACCATAACATCTGAGAAAGAATGATATTATAACTGTGCTAAGAGATGTTGTGAATTATAAATGTCCCAAATGTTCTTCAGAATAATTTAATTACAGTACTGTATCTACCCATTCTCTCTTCAGTGCCTGTTATGTTGGGAAGACTTGACATTACCCCTTTTTGCAGGATTCAAAGTGGCTTCAGTCCTGGCTTCTGGAGGGGTGATTTCTAACAATTCATGATCCCCCACACTATAGGGAAAAGACAGAAGCCTAATGAGAAACACTAGTTACATGTTCAAAGAGTTGTCAAATGAGCAAGATCAAGTATTTTAGTCCCTTTAGGTAAGGTGGCAGTAAGCTGATCAATTTGATTCACTTTTTGAAATCTGCTCTCTCCTTTAATAACTTCTAGTCAAAACTGACGGGTCAAAGACTGACATACAGTCACAAAAATCAGAGCAGGAGTGCAGGACATTGTTTTATGGACATGTAAATGAGAACCAAAATTTAAATGATAGCCCGTTTAAATACAAACAATAACCAAAAAAAAGTAAAGCAAAAAAACCCCACAAAACTTAAAAATATATTTTAATGCGCCCTGGCTGGTGTGGCTCAGTGGTGGAGTGTCGGGTGTGCACCAAAGGGTTGCAGGTTGAATTCCTGGTCAAGGGCACATACCTGGGTTGCAATTTGTTCTGGTCCCGGTCAGGGAACCTGTGGGAGACAATCAATGTGTCTCTCTCACATCAATGTTTCTCTCTCTCCCTCTCTGTCTGTCTCTCCTCTTTCCCTCCCTCCCTTCCACTCTCTCTAAAATAAAAATTAAAAATAAAAAAAAGGAAAAAATATCCTCAGGTAAAGATTAACAACAACAACAAAAGTATATCTTAATGAGAATGCAAGAACAAAGATATCTAAACAAAGGGAACACTGGGATGAAGCAGACATCCCAAAAGAATGCAGCATTCTGCCATTTAGCCTTCTTTGCTTTTTTAAAAATATATCTTTATTGATTTCAGAGAGAGGAAAGGAGAGGGAGAGAGATAGAAACATCAATGATGAGAGAGTCATTGATCGGCTGCCTCCTGCTCGCCCTCAACTGGGGATCGAGCCCACAACCAGGGCATGTGCCCTGACCGGGAATTGAACCCCAATCACCTGGATCCTAGGTCGATACTCAACCGCTGAGCCACGCCCAGCCGGGCTCTATGCTTCTTTTAAACTTAAAACCACTTCCTCTCAATTGAGAGATTACGAAAAAGTCATTTACAAACAAAATTTGATTTCCAATGACACCATTATAGTTCAGACCAGACATCACAGATCTTAAGGTGAAGCAACTAATTCCTAAGGAAAGCAATTTTCCAGGTAACACAGTTGGGGGCTGCTTGTAGATTATTGTATAATTTACATAAAGTTTGTGGAGTAGATGAAATTAAGAAACAGAGGAAGGAAAGAAAAATGTAGTCCTCTAATATTTTCATCAGCCACAATTACCGCTGTGCCAATACTACTGTACACGAGGAACTAAGCTCTAGCAGAGCAGAACCATCCACTGGACACAATTCTGTGCAGAACTGTTACCTTAAATTCTTTCGGACTCCTTACTAAAAAATCAAACAAATAAGGGGCCTGGCGAAGTAGCTCAGTTGGTTAGAACATTGTCTTGATGTGCCAAAGTTGCAGGTTTGATCTCCGGTCAGGGCACATACAAGAAGCAACCAATGAATAAATAAGTGGAACAACAAATGGATGTTCCCCTCCCTCCAATCAATCGATAAATTTTTTTTTAAACAAGAAGCTCTTAAAAAAAAAATATATATATATATATCTTTATTGATTTCAGAAAGAGGAAGAGAGAAAGAGATAGAAACATCAATGATGAGAGAGTCATTGATAGGCTGCCTCCTGCATGTCCCCCATTGGGGATCGAGCCCAAAACCCTGGCATTCCTGACCAGGAATCAAACCCCGATCTCCTGGATCCTAGGTCGATGCTCAACCGCTGAGCCACGCGCAGCCGGGCAAAAAAAGTAATATTTTTAAGAAAGGAGGGTGAGGAAGGACTGGGGCGGGATGGGAGCCAGGCAGAGGGGGGCAATGGGAGAAAAAATAGGGGGGAACATCTGTAATACTCTCAACAATAAAGATAATATAAATAAACAAAATTTTAAAAAATATCTTACTTATTAAAAAAATAAAAATAAAAAGGGTATTTTCTCAGCTATAAAACGAGATTAAAGTAGACAGTCTATTCCAATGTCATAATTCTAACCTAAAAAAATTACAGTTCTTGCTTGGCTGGCATCGCTCAGCAGTTGAGCATCGACCTATGATCCAGGAGATCGTGGTTCGATTCCTGGTCAAGGCACATGCCCGGGTTGCGGGCTCGATCCCTAGTGGGAGATGTGCAGAAGGCAACAGATCAATGACTCTCTCATCATTGATGTTTCTCTCTCTCTCTCTCTCTCTCTCTCTCTTCTCCTTTCCCTTCCTCTCTCTGAAATCAATAAAGGTATATATTTTTTATAATCCCAAAACAATTCTTAATATTAACTAAATATAAAAATGCCACCTTAATAGACGAAGGCTCCCTTGAACTTACCTGTAATAACTTGCCTTGTTAACTGCATCTTCAGAAGAATCAGATCCTAAAAAAATTCCCCAAATACCCCCAAATAACAAATCAATAAAAGAATTTTTATTGAAAGGGTTAAACTCAAAAAATGTACTTTTTGCAAAACAGATGCTCATTCAATAAATATTTACTAATGCCAGGCACGTGATACACATGTCAGGAAATACAGAGAAGCAGTTATAAGCACAGGCTCTGAAGCCTGAATTCCTAGGTTTGAATCACGGCTCTGCCACTTACTAGCATCACTACTTTGGAAAAATTTAACCTCTCTGTGCCTTAACCTCCTCATCTGTAAAAGAAATATAATCCTAGGAACAACCTCAGGGCTTTGTCAGGCCTCTTAGATGAGTTTTACAAGTAAAGTACAACAGTGCCTGGACTACACACTAAGTGCTCTTAAATATTTACTACTATAATTACTTTATCTTTGTGATACAACACTGCTGTGTCACCAAATTAATCAAAATTTAAAAATCGTAAGTCTAGGAACTTATGATTTTAAAAGGAGAAAAGACATACAAGTAACTTCCAAGAGAATCTGGTAAACATATGGTGCTGCTTGAAAGCCCAAAGAAGGGCCCCTCTTTCCAATTATAAACATATTCTAAAGGACAAAACAATTAGAGAAAACTGTCTGAACTGAGCTCAGCTCTTCTTACGTCTGTCTAGTCTAGTACAGTTTATCTTGGATCCTTCCAAATGCTGTAGCCAGCCCATCATGTTCTTTCTTATTCCTACTTTCCAAAGTATAGTAAGCCCACACTTAACGTCGTCAATTGGTTCTACGACTTCAAGCAAAACGACATATAACAAAACCAATTTTACCACAGACTACTTGATATAAGAGTTACATTCCTTTGGTATCTCATCCACATTATAACAAAACAACGTTGAAAGAAACAACATTATTCAAGGACCTGCTATAAGTTTACACATACTTATAACCAGACATCTTTCTTTTGCTCTCTTTGTAAAGTAAGCTTCTTCAAGGTAAGAGCTGCATCTTTTACATTATTTCTAAATACATCATAAGGCTAATAGTATTATTCTATTTCTGCTTCCCAAAGCTCCCTGCCATTGTGTGAATTATGACCAAGGTTTCTGGTAAAGCTGTAAGATAAAAAATCTAGCAACTGTTCTAAACTTAAAAAATGTAAGACTCTTACCCAATTCAATGTAGACAGACTTTTTCTTAGATTGTACCTGCTGCTTTGTCTTCAGTGATCTCACAATTCCAAGGTTAGAGAGTTGGACACTAAGACTGGTTTCCTGCTAAGCAGTAAAGAATGATCAACTAATTATTGGCCAGTTCTTTGCTTTTTTCCTTGAAGAGAAACTCGAGGCCACAGACAAAAGAAACAGGCCATAGTAAATAAGCTAAAATCTATGACACCTAGAAAAAATGCTTGGCAAACCACACACCAAAATGTATGAGCTATGCTCTAATGGTCTGAATATTTTTTCTTCTGTTGTTTTAAATTTTTCTAAACAGAATATGTATTATCTGTGTAATTTTTTGAAGTATAGGAAAAGCATATTTTGAAGCTAATACTTTATATTATAGTGTAGTATAGAAAGGGAATAAGATTCATCTAGTACACATTTCCAAACACATCTCATAACAGAGTTGGCAACTAAGATAAAATAAATTTTAAAAAAAGATAAGTGAAAATAATAACAAACCTGCAAAATCCTTTTATCCCTAGCTGATTTTGCTCAGTGGTTACAGCATCAGCCCTCAGACTGAAGGGTCCCGGGTCTGATCCCAGCCCTGGTCAGGGTGCACGAGGGAGGCAACCAATCGATGTCTCTCTCTCTCACACTGATGTTTCTCTCTCTCACTCTCCCACTCTCTTGGAATAGCAATGGGAAAAATATCCTTGGGTGAGGATTTAAGAAAAATAATAATAATATTGAAAAACCCAACAGTATTCCAGTGAAGTTCTCCTTTTTGAGCCCTTCGACATCTACTGAAAAATGAATGCTGGTATCACAAGAACTATTATTTTTGAGACCTCCATTAGTCATTCACAAATGAGTAACAACAGAGCAAATCATGCTTTTTTTTTTTTTTTTACAATTACATCTTTTAAGTTGAAGCAATTTTCAAATGTAAAAACTGATTTTTTTCTTCAGGCAACTTTTCAGAGCAAATAAAATAAATACACTTCCTCATGCCTGGAGAACTGCCATAAGATGGTTATTGTAAAAAGTAGTAGCTTAAAACCTTCCGTGACCTTGTGGCTATTTTAGACAAGCATCAGGATAGATAAAACGCTAATGTAGGGGAAGGGCCTGTAAGATCTCTCCTGACCACAATAGGTACACGGATCTTCTCTCAATTCCTCTAATTCTTGTTCATTAGAACATCTGTCCAACCACTTAATTTAGCATCTTACCTTGTTTACTGACTTTTTATATAAATCCATGAGCATCTAGCACATTCACTATTTCATAATACTCAGTAAAGAGATTTTACCAGAATAAATGAAAATGGCTTTACCAAGGTAGGATTTTCAGGTTCACTCTGTCGAAGTCTTAAGGCACGGTTTCGGAAGCCCAAACTCTGGATCATAGAAACTTCCTCCTTCATATGCTCAGGACTGTTATTTCCTTTTTTTGAAAAGTTATAACTGTTTGCAACTGTGAATTACAAAGGAAACATTATTTTTATAATTGTAATCAAAGAACCAAGAGAAATCCTGTGTATGCTCTTTGTTATATTAGGACAATGCATTAAAGGTTACCTATAATTTTTTTAAACCAAATTTGGAAATTCTACTCTTAGGAAACAAACACACAGACTGTCAAAGTTATTTCTACTCCTTTTTTTCCACCCCAATACTAACAAATTTGCCTATTAATACTATAGTTCACTGAATCTAAGATACCAATGATGTAAGAAGCACCATTATTCTCTATACCACACAATTAAACAATGATACACCATTGATGGTAAATTGTCCCCGATTTATGTGAAAAACTTGCAACTTAGGATGGATAAAATAAGGTGTGAGAGGAGTGGGAATTATTTAACAAATAGATTACAGTTAAAGAGCTACAATTAACCTAGACCAAAAGGTCTTATCACCTATTCACAGAAAATAATTGCGTAAAACTCCTCCTGAGTTTTAACTACAGCCACTTGAGCACTGGCCCCTGGGGCTATACAACACTTACACTGCAATCCTGTGTCAAGCTCAAAAGCATGAATAATTTTCAATAGCTCTTCAACAAGTTGACTAAATCTTGTACTTTCTTGTAGGCTTCTGAAATTAAATTATTTGAGAGACACACTTAGCAAGTACTTATCAATTTTTTAAGGACACTAAAATAAGGAAAGACATATATACTAATAAAAAAAAGAGGCAGCAACAGTAGAAAAATGATATTCAAAGAACGGAAGTATTTAGTGATGTCACATAATCAAAACACCATTCCCTGGCCGGTGTTGCTCAGTGGTTAGAGCGTCAGCCCTCAAACCAAAGGGTCGGGGGTTCAATTCCTGGACAAGGGCTCAATTCTGGTCTAGGGTACGATCCCTGCCCCAGTTAGGGTGCATGCAGGAGGCAACCAATGGATGCTCTCCCCAAAATCAATGGAAAAAATATTCTCAGGTGAGGATGAACAAAAAACAAACAAAACATCATTGATATCAGTACTGATTATTCTTATAATATCTTTTTTGCCATTTAAACCTACCAAAAGAGCCCTGGCCAGATGTGGCTTAGCGGTTGAGCGTTGACCTAGGATCCAGGCGGTCGGGGTTCGATTCCAGGTCAGGGCACATGCCCGGGTTGCGGGCTCGATCCCCAGTTGGGGGTGGGCAGGAGGCAGCGGATCAATGACCCTCTCATGATTGATGTTTCTATCTCTCTCTCTCCCTCTCCTTTCCTCTCTCTGAAATCAATAAAGATATATTATAAAAATAAATAAATAAGCCTACCAAAAGATATAACCATCTAAAATAGTATTCTGAATCCATAGTAGATGTAAATCCACTGCACAGAGAACTTACTATTCTTTTTCTTTTTTTAATATATCTTTATTGATTTCAGAGAGAGGAAGGGAGGGGGGAGAGAGAGATAGAAACTTCAGTGATGAGAGGGTCATTGATCTGCTGCCTCCTGCACAAACCCGACTGGGGATCGAGTCCACAACCTGGGCATGTGCCCTGACTGGGAATCGAACCAAAATCTCCTGGATCATAGGTCAGTGCTCAATTGCTGAGCCATGCTGGCCAGGTGAGAACTTACTATTCTTAACATCTGAACCCCATCCATCCAACCTCCCACTTTTAGCTCTCAGGAATTTCTGTCAAATGATGATTATATTATTTGGAAAGCACAAATAGATGAAAATGTCCAAAGAAAGATTCTGATACAGGAAAGTTTTAGGACAATATAATCTATTTGTTCCTTTAAATATCTGAGGGACTACTATGTACCAAGCACTGGAAAAACAGTGTAGACTGAAACAGACAAAGCCAGTGCCCTAATAGAACTTCAATCCTGGCCAGAGGGATGCACAATATATAAATACATTGTATGTGTGTGTAAATAATTAAGTAGAAATTAACTGTGCAAGGAAGCAAAATAAAAGGATCAGGAGACAATGGGGGCAGGTGGTACACTCCTACTTTAGATAAGACTACAAGTTCTGGCACCATTCAGAAGCATTAGAAAAAGGCAACCAATTGCTAATACCTGTATAAGGTACCATAAAACTTTCAGGAAAATAATATAAGAAATAATTTATTCTGTCAGCTTAAAACCCTTTTATACATTTTTCTCCTGAGGAATGGTTTGACAGGAACAGCGATAGTAGTACGAATTTCTACTTTTTCCTGTTGTTGCTTCCAACTTCCCATCACTACCCAATTATATACCTTTTGGTTATATCATTCTTACACAAAGGACACTGTGAAGGCCCTTTCTTCTGGTTGAGAAGTTTCAGCATGCAAAATCTACAAATTATAAAGAATGAAAAGAACAATTCAAGTTACTCTTTTTTGTAGAGAGAATATTCAAAAGGCAAATAGCCATGAAAAAAATAATCTCACAACATTAAGAGCCATTTTAAAGGTAATAGCAGGTGAATTACAACCAATGGCTTTCTTTAATTGTTTTAAATGCTGCATAAGCAGAAAACCAAACTACATAAGCAATGATCTATGAAAACCGAACTTACATGCATATGGTTTACTGTTATGGTCAAATAAAACTTATTAAAGAGTTAATATGGTATATTTAATGATAATTATTTCATGCTGCATAATCAGATATAAATGGAAATAGTTCAAGTAAAATGATTATAATTAGTTTAAAAACTCAGCAGCACCTCACTACAAAGCTACAGTAATCAAGACAGTGTGGTACTGGCATAGGGACAGACATACACATCAATGGAACAAGATTAAGAGTACAGAAATAAATCTATTCATATATGGTTAACTGATTTTCAACAATGGCACCAAGATAAGGAAATGGAGAAAGAAACAACAAACAGCGCTGGGACAACTAAATATCCACATACAAAAAGTGAAGATACACTTCTACCTCATACAATACAAAAAAATTAACTCAAAATGGATCACAGAACTAAATGTAAGAGCTAAAACTAAACCTTTGTGACCTTGGGTTAAACAATGATTTCTTAAACAAACAAACACCAAAAGCACAAGCAACCAAAGGAAAAACTAGATACACTGGACTACATTAAACTTAAAAACTTCTGTGCTACAATATCATGAAGAAAGTTAAAGGACAATCCACAGAATGGGAGAAAATTTTTGAAAATCATATGTATTCGATAAGGAACTTGTATCCAGAATATACGAAGAACTCTTACAACTCAATAATAAACAGAGAAATAAGTTAAAATATGGGTAAAGGATTTGAATAGACATTTTCTCCACAGGAGATATACAAGTAGTCAACAAGCACATGAAAAGATATTCAATACAGTCATTATGAAAATGCAAATTAAAGCCACAATGAGACACCACTTTACACCCTCTAGAATGGCCTGTACAAATAAAAAGAGCAGATAAGAAGTATTAGAGAAGATGTGGAGAAACTGAAATCCTCATTCATTGCTAGTGAAAATATAAACCAATGTAACCACTTTGGAATACAGTCTGGCAGTTCCTCAAAATGTTAAACATAGAGTTGCCACATTACTCTGCAATTCTACTCTTAGATTTGCAGATTCTTCCCTGGAGAAATGAAAACATTAGTCCATATAAAACTTGTACACAAATGTTCATAGAAGCATTACTCATAATAGCCAAAAAGCAGAAACAATCCCGATGTCCATCAATCAATGAACAGAAAGACAAAATGTGTACAACCACACAACAAAATATAATTCAGCCATAGAAAATAAAGTACTGATATAAGCTACAATGCTGAATGAACCTTGAAAACATTACTTTAAGTGAAAAAAGCCAGACACAAAAGCCCATATACAGTATGATCCCATTTATATGAAGTGTCCAGAATAGACAAATCTGGAGACAGAAGGTAGATTTGTGGTTGCCTAAAAGGAGGTGGGAGGTGGGAGGTACGAATAGGGAGTAGCTGCTAATAGGGTTTCTTTTAGGGATGATGAAAATGTTCTAAACTTAGATTGTAGTGATGGTTGTACAACTCTAAATATACTAAAAAAACGAATTGTACAATTTTTAGTGAATTTTATAGCATGTAAATTATATCTCAATAAAAATGTTTTTAAAAAACATTTTAAAAAGTCGAGGGAGAAAATATACTTGTTTTTACATTCACAATGCCTGACATAGTGTCTTATAAACCAAACTGCTCACTAGAAGCCTAAGGAATGAAGAAGGTTCCATCCTTCTGAGACACTGGGCTTTTAGAATGGCTCTGGATGTAGAATAGGTCTAAGACTTGAAGAACAAAGGCAACACATTCTAATGATTTAGCTTCTTAAACAAAGGAAAACACTGCTTCCATTGGCTGGAGGTGTCTATAAAGATCAACGTTCCCTTAGGAAGAAGACAAAATAAGATTCGAGAAGAGAGGTAGGAAGGAAAAAAGAAACAAGAACAGTAGAGGTAGCCATGGTTATCATTAAAAGCAGTGATTCAGTCACCAATGTTTATTACATGTCCAATACTGTTATAGATGAAAAGAGATTCAGCAGAAAAGCAAAATAAAATCCCTGCCATTATAAAGGACATAATATTTGGCTAGGGAGGTGACTAGGGAATGGAGTAGAGAGCAGATGCTGACACTGAAAAGAGCCAGGAGCCCGGCCGGGCGTGGCTCAGCGGCTGAGCATCAACCTAGGATCCAGGCGATTGGGGTTCGATTCCCGGTCAGGGCACATGCCCGAGTTGCGGGCTAGGCAGCCGATCAATGACTCTCTCATCATTGATGTTTCTCTCTCTCTCTCTCTCCCTCTCTCTGAAATCAATAAAGATATATTTAAAATTTAAAAAAAAGAAAGAAAGAAAAAAAAAAGAGCCAGGAAAGACAAGATTAAGGGCACTGAAAAAGCAGTGGGACTGGTGAGCCAGCCAGCAGACACTTAGTGCTTTTTTACTAGCCAGGTCCTTTAACATGCATTGCCCTCTCTTCATTCACGCAACAACCCTGGAGAATTATCTTCATGTTATAGTACAGACTTGTCCCAGGTCACACAGTAATCAAGCGGTGAAGGTGGTACTGGATCTAAAATTGAAGTGTAGCCCAGCCCATGTCTTTTTACCAGAGAAAGTGAATGTAGTTAGGTATGGTCAAGGAGACTCAGAGGACCTTCTTCACCTATACAGATGCTTTACCCGGCAACAACTCAATAGTTTAAGGAAAAGGGATATAAAAAACTACCTGTATTGTATGTAAATTCCCTTTCAAGAGCCACAGAATAGAGGCTACCACTCCTTGAGAAGATGCAAATTACTACGTGTAATCTACCATAATGGCTCTAGGAGGCATCAATGCATTACACTGGCAAATGGTACAATTCAACAATTCTGAGTGGAGTAGGGAGGGAATTCCCTGAACAGAGTACTGCAGAATACAGTAGCTCAGCTATAGAGTGTGGAAGCCTGTACAAGAATTACATAAATAATACAGGGGAACCAGGTATATGTAGAAATCAACCAACATATGGGTTCCAAGCTTTCTTTATGCTAGCAAAAGAACACAGACATAAAGGTTGTTAACCCAAAAGAGAAAATAACCTTGAATGTGACTTGGAAAGACTGAACTAAGGAAAATATTGACAGGTCAAGAGAACATTGGCATATCTTTCAGGGCTCAGAATTTATTAGATTCTGTTTATAGAGTCCTGGGGAATCTGTGACACACCAATAAAATAAAGACACATATGTAAGTTGACACGAAGTTCTTGTGAAGAGGTCAGAGACAAGTTTTGAGCTTCTTGGATTTCTTTTTTTTCTTTTTAAATATATCTTTATTGATTTCAGAGAGAGGAAGGGAGAGGGAGAGAGAGATAGAAACATCAATGATGAGAGAGTCATTGGTTGAGCCTGCAACCCGGGCATGTGCCCTGACCGGGAATCGAGCCCCGATCACCTGGATCCCAGGTCGATGCTCAACCGCTGAGCCACGCCTGACCGGGCGAGCTTCTTGGATTTCTAATGCTTAAGGAAAGGCAATACTTTTTTAAAAAATATTTTTTTATTGATTTTTAGGTACAGAGGAAGAGGGAGAGACAGAAACATCTGATCAGCTGCCTCCTGCACGCCTCCTACTGGGGAACAAGCCCGCAACCCAGGTACGTGGCCTGACTGGGAATTGAACCTCGATCTCCTAGATCATAGGTCTATGCTAAACCCGAGCCACACCAGCCAGACCACACTTTTAATTCTAATACAGCACTTAAAATATGGCTGTTTCTTCTGTTTATCATATTCTCCATATAAGGAGCTGCAAGCCTTTCTCACTCTCCTCCAGTTGCCAACTTTAACTCTTTCAATCTCAACTGATGTCTTCACCTCCAACTTCAGAGTTCAAGCCACCTCAACTCTCCCTGCTCTACTTCAAAATCTTTCTACCTCGAAAGTAGAATTTCTCTACTTTTCCTTCATTACTTCTTATGAATAATAACTATTTCTTTTTCTTGCATTCATTTTCTATTTCCAACCCATCTACCTTCTCTGGCAAATGTCATCTCCTCTCTGAAGGAGTCCTTCCTCTTCTCACACAAATCCTATATACATGTGCAAAGTTAGTTTCTTTTTTCGGGACATAGTCTTTCTTCTCTTCTTACCTTTGCTCATATTATTTCCTCTGCCTTAAATTTCCTTCCACAAGCTCTCAAAGTAATGAATGTTTATACTATCTGTAACCTTTTAAATACTGGGACTTTTAAATTTTGTTTTACAAAAGTATCAATCTGTGAAGAAACTGGTCCTATACTACAGATAGTTTGAGAAGCTTCCCTCTAGAGGCCACAAAGAGATAAAGTTGTGCTGCCCTGGCACCTGAATGAGAAGGACCTAAGGAATCAGACGGAAACTGTTGGGAACAGATCTAGGCCAGTGGGGTGACATGAGAAAAGGGTAAGAGACAATGGAAATGGGCTCTGGATCCTTGTTAGGACAGATGAATGGGAAGAATAATACAGAATGCAGGAGAAGGAAGGAGGCAGCCAGCTGGCAGACTAGTGCTTGGAGGATATCCCTCCAACATGAACAGGTTTCCCTCAGCTCTAGCCAGCTCTCATTATCCTTAATGGAGATGTTCTTCACATTTTTTAGGTTATGAAAACATGCTAAGAATCTGATGAAAATTACTGATTGTCTTCTGGGAAAATTGCACATGCCTGGCGTTTCTAATATAGTTGAACTTAAACTTGAATATAATTATAGGACATTCATGAAACCAACGAATCCCAGAATTAAAAACTCTTGAAATTTAAAAATTCCTCAGAAGATACATAAGAAAGTGATCACTGTCGTTTCTGGGGAGGGCAGAGGAAGGCAGGAATTTGGGGTTAGAAGGGAAACATACTTTGCATCATATAACCTTTTGTGCTAATAAACTCATTACCATGGACAGGCCTTGCTTTTTCAATTGAAAAAGAAAAAATACTTAAAAGAAGTTAGTTGGCCCTGGCGGGTTTGCTCAGTGGTTAGAGCGTCAGCCTGCGGACTGGAGGACCCTGGGTTCCACTCTGGCCAAGGGCACGTACCTTGGCTGCAGGCTCAATCCCTGGCCCCAGTGGGGCGGTTGGGACACATGCTGGAGGAAACCAATCCATGTGTCTTTCACATTGATGTTTCTATCTCTCTCTCTCTCTCTCTCTCTCTTCCCCTCTCCCCTCCTCTCTCTGAAATCAATAAAGATATATTAAAAAACAAAACAAAAACTCAAAACATTAAAATACATATATATATAACTGGAATCATTAGTATGAATGAATTTAAGCCTAAATAATAACCAACATCAGATCCTTTCCTAGCTTTACAAGGATTATGAAGCAGACAAACGCTGACCCTCAGAAGCGGGAAAAGTGGGACATGCAAAATGTACAGAAAAGAGAAATTGGCAAGGCTAAGACACAATTTGTTTATTGCATAATTGCTTACAATCTGCTTTCACCCATGGACACAAAAAACAAACAGCTGTTCAAAGTGAGTCGATACCCCACCAGATAAATATGCCAATATTTTACCAGAAACTTTGGTTACAACCAACTTATGGTGATGAAGGATAAGCACAAAAGCCAATAATGGAGCCACATAAAACACTCAAACTTACTTGCAAAATATGTGGTCACATTTTGTGGAAACAGGCTCTTTGATTAACTCCAGGCTAGAAGGGTGGGGGAAAAAAGAAAAAGAAATGCAGATCAATCATTCATTTAAAAATAAATAATTCTTAGTAAAGAAATTCAACTTTAAGTGACTATAACTAAGCCAAGGCAAGGTTTTAAGTTCATTCAATAAATATTTATTAAATGTCTGCTGTGTCAGGAGCCAAAAATACAGCAGAGAATATGATCCTTAGCCTCACTGAGCTTTCAGATATCAAAACAGAATGAATACATATCACTCTTTTCAATATTCTACATAATCTATAGCATTTAAAAGGTTAGCTGATATTCATATCAATTAGGTTTCACTGATATTCTTTTTTGAGCTATCAGTGGGTGCACATCCTATATCTAAACTAGACTTTAAGCTCCACAAAAACAAAAACTTCTTGTATTTCTTTTGGATTCCCTGACAGCACTTTTTTTTTTTTAATTTTTGTGTGTGTGATTGCTTTTAATTTCTTCATATGGAAAATTTCAGGCATTTATACAAATAAAATAGTAAAACGAACTCCATGTATCACCCAGTTTCAACAGTTACCTACTCACAGCCAATGTTATATCGTCCATGGCTGACACTCACCCAAAGCCTAGATTATTTAAAAATAAATCCCAGCTATCATATCATTTCATCTTTAAATATTTCGGAACATATCTTCAAAAGAGAAAGACTTTTTTAGCATAACCATGAAACCATTATTAATCCTAAAAAATAATTTCCTTAATATCATCTAATATATAATTAATGTTCTAATTTTCCTCACTTTCTCATAAAAATTTAATAATTAAATCTACATAAAACAGTATACACACAAGATCCACACATTGCCTTCGGTTGATATGTCTTAAGTCTCTCTCTTTTTTAAAGTCTATTTTAAAGTCTTTAGCTTTCATTCTGAGAGCTTTAGAAACTGATTTTTGGTAAAGTTTAGGCAGGATATCAGACAACAGGTAACCTGTGTATGACAGGAATGTGGTTCTTTTCATTAAAAGTTTAACTTTTTAGAAAAGTATCGCAAGAAAAGCTGGGAGGGTGCTTGTGCCTTTCCTACTCCCCTCATCTTCCCCTGCAGGTGCCTTATCTTTGCCTTTCCCTCTCCTAAGCTCCAATGGCCCTTCTTTTGCTTCTGTAACTTGCTTCCTGAGCCTAGCAGCCCAGCTGGCTCACTCCTACTACCTCTGGAACTTTCTAAAGAAACTTCCTCAAAATTTGAGTTCTTGGGTCTGAAATCTTCCTTGAGGAATTCAAGAACCAAGGTCAAATTTCGCTGCCAACTCCTCAGTAACAGATCAGGACAAGCAAACAGAAGAAAGAAACTTATAGGAAGCAGCGATAATGCAGGAGACGGCAATCAATAAACATGAAACAAGAGCAGGACCCTTCTGGGGGGAAAAAAAGAAAATAGCCTTCAGAGAATGGTCCTGGATATTAAAAGTAAAAACAAAAAATGAGTAGAAGTTTTGAAAAATGAAGTAGAACGTGTCAAAACTGTCATTTGTACTCAAATTAGCCTGACTCCAAAGCCCATAAAAATAAAAGATTAAAAAGATAAAAAGCTGGGGGACAATAGCCCTGTTGTGAAGAGTTTGGTAACACAACTCTTATAATCATGGGGTTTCTGACGCAGCACAGGGAAAGAAAAAGAAAAATACCACAGTAAGTCAGAAGGCTAGGTTTCTACTACCAGGTCTCCTTTTCATTAGCAGAGTGACCTTAGTGCAAACACTCTACCTGACTGAACCTCAGTTTCCGGTAAGGAAACTGTCACCCACTCCACCGGTCTCTTCAGGCTACTGTGAGAATAAAATTTTTTTTTTCTTTTTCCCCCCCGTTGAGAATAAAATTAAATGCTATTTGGGAAAATGTTCATAACCTGAGGTGACTTGTACTGTTAGTGGTATTATTGGAACTGAATGTAATTAAAAAAACACAAAACAAACAAACAAACAAAAACTGACAAAGAGAACTCTAATCTGTTACCAAATCACTACTCCTCAGATAAGCTAGATATCAAAGACATTCTCAGTAAAAGAGAAAGTGGATTTAGTTATACCAGATGGCTTTCATTCTCACCACTAACTCAATTCTGAAATAATTATATTTCAGTCTAGTAATTATAAGCCAAACTATACAAACACACTCTAAACAAACTGAACAGATGAAAACTCCATGTAAAAAGGTAATAAATGTTGAAGGAAAAGCTTGAAGAGGAAATGGGAATAAAAAGACAAAAGTTAAAATGTTCCTCTTCTAGGACCTGATGAGAGTAAATGTTTCCTATGAAAGTGACTCAAGCCCGGCCGGGTAGCCCAGTTGGTTGAGTGTCATCCTGTACACCAAAAAGGCTGTGGGTTCCATTACCGGTCAGGGCACATACCTAGATTTCAGGTTTGATCCCCAGTAGGGGGCGAGTACAGGAGGCAACCCAACTGATGATTTTCTCTCTCTCTCTCTCCCCCTCTCTCTCTCCCACCTCCCTCTCTCCCTCTCTCCCTCCCTCCCTCTCTCCCTCCCTCTCTCCCTCTCCCTCTCCCTCCCCCTCCCCCTCTCCCTCTCTCCTTCCTCCTAAAATCAATGAAAAAATATCTTCGGGTGAGGATTAAAAAAAAAAGTGACTTAAATATTTTAAACACTTTTTAAACCAGTCAATACTTTAGGCCTAACGACATGTCTACATTCTGAGCTCCCAAAATAGATGTGATTAGAAAAAGAAGCTAGATTAGGTCAAAAAATAACCATCCACCAGGATATACATTTAAAAAACTCTTTTGGAAGTAAAAAGTTTTATATAGTCATATGTAAAATGTTAGAAAGAACTACCAGTTATCAGAAATAAATGCCAGTAATGACTTAGAGGCCAACAGAAAGAATTTTAGCTCTCAAGACCTCAAAAAAGCTAGAAACCACCTGGCCAGGCATGGCTCAGCAGTTGAGCATCGACCTGTGATCCAGGAGATGGTGGTTTGATTCCTGGTCAGGGAACATGCCCAGGTTGCAGGCTTGATCCCCAATGTGGGGCATGCAGGAGGCAGTCGATCAATGACTCTCTCATTGATGTCTCTATCTCTCCCTCTCCCTTACTCTCTCTGAAATCAATAAAGATATATAAAAAAAAGAAAGAAAAGCTAGAAACCTACTCTACAGCTACCAGAAGTAGCACTGTTTCCAGTTACAATCAGAAACTATTTATTAAGACATAACAGCAAATTGTACTGTTCTGGGTTCTGTTAAAAAAAAAAAAAGTGAAGTAGATATGATTCCCATCCTAGAACTTTCCATTTAAATGAGTTTAACAATGACTAGGATGCACAGTTTTAGTTTAAAAAACCTAAGTGTATTTCTAATAGAAAACAGATAGAAAATATAAGCTGTAAAATATACAGTATTTGACCAAAATGAAAATTTAGCATTAACTTTCACCTTGCATCTTTAATTTTTATGTATCTGAGTTTTTTAATTGCTGGTTTAATTTTCCGTGGAAATGTAAAATAAATGGACCCAAATGCCACACTATTGAGGACTTTTTAATCACTCTTTATAATTATTAGTTTTATGACTTTTCAAAAGCAATTTTTTCCTCAATTGCCATTTCCTGCTCCTCTGGCTTTGATGTTTCATAAAGTAAGCTGCAAATCTCATTTAGCTCATTTTTGTTTGGCTGAAATGTTAAGGGCCGAGGGAGAGGTTTACTTATAAATCTTATATTTCTCTGAAAACACAACGTGTATTTTCTTTAGTTTTATTTTTTTTTACTCCAAATATGATAAACTTTCATGAAGCACAAAGGAAAATCTACTTAAATTTATTCTCCTTTGTTCAAGGTAAGGAGCAACAGGTGCAGCTTTCCAATTTATTTTTTGACTGTTATCCACCACTAACCAATGTTAAAAACCAATGAACTATCAAAAAGCCAATTTCAACAAATGTTTACCGAGTGGCTACTATGTCCAAGGCACTGCTTTAACTCCTGAGGACACCAAAGTAAACAAATAAAAACCTCTGCCCTCATGGAGTTTATATTCTGTGGGGATATATATATGGCTAGTTTCAGCCAAAGATTCTCCCAAAGATCTACCCACTCACAGATATCAATCATTCCTAATTTTAATTTGCCATTATTAAGTATGTCCATTCCAAGTGATCAAACTGGCTTTAAAGCTGGATGGAAAGCCCAAGTGCCACTCAATCCAAACCACATCTCTGCCCCAATGTGGAACGAGTCAAGACAGTGTGTGGCCCCGCCAGGAGTGGCTCAGCAGTTGAGCATCGACCTAGGGTCCAGGAGATCGGGGTTCGATTCCCGGTCAGGGCATATGCCCAGGTGGCGGGCTAGGCAGCCGATAATGACTCTCATCATTGATGTTTCTCTCTCTCTCTCTCCCCCTTCCTTTCCTCTCTCTGAAATCAATAAAGATATGTGTTTTTTTAAAAAAAAGACAGTGTGTGGACTAGGAAAAACAGGAGGCTATGTGTGTTGAGGAGGTATAAAGGGAGGAGAGAGGAAGAGTGGAGAAAAAGGAGTAATTTTCTATATTCTTAAAGCTCTTCAGTTAAGAAAATCAGTAGCTTTAATAGCCTAATTTTAACAGACATTATAGTTTTTTCTCCTTACTATGTAAGGTCAATTCTGTTCATCTGCATAGAATGTAATTATCAAGGAAAAATCTCAAATTAATAAATTCTTCTGTTGACTTACCAGATTGGGCACTCTAAGATTTTCTGCATAGCATTAAGGACATTTTGTACTTCTTCAACGCGATCCACACATAAATTCATCTCTTCCTATTACAATGAACTTTAAAGGATAAATAAATCACCTTAAAAGGCTTAAAAAACAACAGCTTAGTTTCATTAAGTGTCATTTTTAAGTAAGAGAAATTTAAGATTGGAGTGCTTTAGAATTATACCAACCATAAAATAGCAAAAGTCTTATTTTTTTAAATTGTAAGTTTTTCATTGTAATTAAGACCACTTTAAATTCTCTATTTTTTCATATATAGCCTCCAGTCACTTCCTTTTGGTCTTTTCCTTTCTGCAAGCAAGGGAAAGCCACAGTGGGGTGACTGGGTGAATTGGTGGTAGCCTAAGCTTTCTCCAATCATCCTGGCCGTTTTATTTTTCTTGCATAAAACTATAATCAACAAAAACAAAACCAACACCAACGAAGGCTCTCCACCCCTGTCCTTCCCCAGTGTTTTCCACCGGCTTGCACTCATCGCGGGAGCCTCAGGCACATTCATGGCAGCGGCATCTGTGACTAGTAATGCCCCTTCCTCTACTTTCCTCTTGTCTCTTCTCGGAAACCCATAAGAATCCAGTTCTTAAGGGCTCTCCCTCCCACAAAACCCTGTCTCCTCCTCTTCCCAGACACATTCCTGCTCCTATTCTTCCTCAGGGTTCCCTTCTCACGTATACCACCCCGTCTTTTTACATTATGCTGTCCCCTCAAAACACACTCCAGCTCCAACCATCAGGATTCCCCTTCAGACACACCCAGCCACCGTCCTTATCCTTGGTGCCTCCCCCTACACCGCAACCCACAAAATGCACACCTCCCCACGATTATCCCATACTCGATATCAGGTTCCACCCTCCCGCCTGCCCTAGCCATACGACACCCATCTTGCTATCCTTCAGACGTCCCTTCCCCCACTCCCTCCACACCAGTTTCTTGCCTGTCCGCCAGAGTACCTCTTGGGCCCCCTGAGCCCTTCCCCAAAGCTCTCTCACCTTTACTCAGATCAGAGTCTGGGCTTTCCCGGCCTAGGGACTCAGTTATCTGAAAGGCCTCCCGGACAGTCCTGGGTCCGGAGAGCTCGGCCAGCTTACGCTGCGCAGTCGCAGTTTCAATTTATCTGAAATTCCCGCGCTTTTCCGTTGCCACGGAAACCGGCCGCTGAGGGTGAGCGAGAGCCTCTCAGAACGCGAGCTCGAAACACGTTACGGAAGGGCGGAGCAGAAAGAGCCAAAAGTCTTTCGGGGTTCGCAATTGGTCAGCCATTCTTTCCCTGTGTTACGTAATTAGTAAGAGACGGAAGAGAAGGAATTCTCTTGGAGTTTTCAATCAGGCGCCCACCATCTCACCTCTACGCTTCCAGTGGCGGCTTATTATTACGTCACAGTGATTGCCTTACTAGGGTTGGAATCGCTGAGACCCGAATTGAACGCAAGGTAGTGCCTACACACTCCTAAGAAGAGGTCTCGTTACCTTACGTTTCCGCCGCAATGGAAGTCTCCAGTTTAGGTAAATAAAAGGATTGTAGGCAAAAACCCCTACGATTTCCAGCATGCATTGCGGATCAGAAGACCTTCGCCACAGAGTTCCTTGGAAACTGTAGTCTTATGGAGAGGAGCTTCCGACACTGGAAGCGGGCACGATCCTCAGGGCAGCCCAGTTGATAGAGTGAAGACCTCCACACACTTAGGCACATCAACAGATATGGATTGGAATGTTGTGTTTTCGTATCTTAAGAGCGGAGAATAAGCTAAGGAACCTACAAGTCCTAGGAAAACTACAATTCCCATCCAGCCCCGCGAGTCTCGAGTAAGTAGTCATCTAAGGTCAGTGACCTAAGGGAACGCAGATGGGTGCCGAATTTACCTGGGAAGGGGACCTCGGTTCCAGCCCACGGCTGCGCACTCGTAGTTCCGCCCCTCAGCCCCAGTGTTTGTTATTGTTGTGCGGTTCAGGCAGCTCTTGCCCAGCCCCCGCAAACGCATCCTCGACCAATCAATAGGGTAGGAGTTTTGAGGGACAAGTAGTAAGAGCCAATCATCTTGTTGGAAACTCAGAAACTGGGGACTAGCCCCTGTGTCTATCCGCCATGTTAGATTCACCCCGCAGGGGTAGCAGCAACGCTGGCAGCGAACGGTCCCTGCACTGGCCTCTGGCAGGCGCCCCCCGGGGGCGGGAAGCTGGTAAGGAAGCCGCTGCGATTACCTAGGGATGGGGTCACGTCGCACTGAGAGGGCTTGGGGAAGTTCAGGGGAGGAGTCCTGCAAAGAAGAGGGGCGACTTTTTCCATATCTGGGGGCAGCCGTTCTTTTCACTGACCGGATGGGAGAGCTGTTCGTGTTCTGAGGGGCCGAGGGGGCGGATACCGCCGGTGGGATGGAGATTCGGTGGCTGAGAACTGCCGGCTTCTGCTGATGGAAGGCCGAGACTCACCGGCACAAAGAGGGCCTAGGTAAAGAAAATGAGATCCTTAGGGGGTGATGACACGGTCTTGGGGACATGGAGTGCTAGGAGAGGATAACTGGAAGACTTAAGATGAAGTCTGCAAGAAAAAAAAAAGATGACACCGTATAGCCTCCTCACCCCCGTCTCCTTTCATTTCAAGAACCTCATAAAGTAGTTTCCTTGCTCAGGGACCTCTGGTATTAGAAAGGTACCGTTTTTCTGTTTTGTCAAACACTCAGCTTTCCAGGTCACACATTTTAACGTCCGGGATATCTTGTACATACAGGCCTTTGGTGGAGACAGTAGTCAAAGCTCAGGTTCCCAGGCCTGTTTTATTAAAGAGATTTTTGGTATCCTGAAAAAAATCGACGTAGAGGAAAAGCTGACTGTGCTAAGCCAAGGTGAGTCAGTGGCATGAAGTTATAATAATGCCAGTTAATTAAAGTTGAAGGCCTAGGCCCCAGCTTCATGACTTTACTGACTTTAAACCCACAAGGACAGAAGGGTCGACCCATAGCTTTAGTGTTTCCACAAGTTCAAGACTAATGCTCTTGCTAAAAGAATTTTCAACATATAAGCCAAACGGAAACAGGCAGCAGGCAGCTCTTTACGAAGACTTGGACATGATCCAACTCAGCTAGCCTCCCCCACTTCCTGTTTTCTCTCCAGCAGCAGCCCAGCTGGATGAGCTCCAAAGTATCTAAACTAATTTCCAATTGTGAAATTTGAGAAAAAAGGGGCAAGATTAGTTTCCTCTGGACTCTGAGAAGTGTTGAAGTGTGTTTCTTGGAAGTTGAAAAATGAGACTCTTTCAGGGTCCCCCACTTTTGGGAGACTGAATCAGTCACTTCATTTCCCTGATTTTTCTTTTCCCCCCCCTCAAGATTCTGGGGCACTGACAAGAATTCTTTGCAAGTTTTAAGGACCCCCCAAATTGCATTCCATATGACTAGATGTCAGCAGGATTGCCAGAAACGGGTGTTATTTTGGTGGTGAACTTAACTCTAGGTGGAGACAAAGAATAAAAAGAAGGGGGTGGGGACGGACCGACAGTAATTGTTTTTGGATTTAAAAAAAAATCCTTGATCCTTAAACCTTCAAGGTCCTTTTTAATGACCTTGTATTGTTTCACAGGATAGTACATTATACTGTGGAAAACAGGACTATTTTAGGTTCTAAAGACTGATTTATCATCATTTTACATTTGAGTAACATTTTCAAAGAATTTGCACACACATTTTTATTTGATCCTTATGATGACATTGTGAGGTGTCAAAGCAGAGATATTAGAACTATTTTACAGATTCAGGAATTGAAGCTCAGAGGTTAAATGACTTGTTCAGTTGTATGGCCAGTAGTGTGCCAGAGTAATGTGTCTAGAACTCAATTCTTTTAACCCTTGTGCTCCCTCCCCTATTATGCTATAAACTTCTGGGACTTAATCTTGTTCATCTATCTCCTGTGCCTGGATCAGAATCTGGCTCTTTGTAGATGCTTATTAAAGATTTGCCAATGAATATGTTTAAAAGCTGACATTTTTCATTACAGCTTATGTTTAGATTTAAACAAACTTTTTTGTTTTTATAAAGTCATAAAAACAAATCTACCTAACAACTCATCAGTAAACAAAATCCTTAAGTAAAAACAGTCCCTGGCCCAATAGATAGCTCAGCAGGTTAGAGCGTCATCCAGATACACCAAGGTTGCTGCTTTGATCGAGTCAGGGCACATACGAGAATCAACCAATGAATGCATAAATAAGTAGAAAAACAAATCTCTATTTCTCTATCTCTCTCTCCCTCCCACTTTCTCCCTCCTCCTTCCTCTCCCCCTTTCCTCTCCTGAGTTGATGTTAATTATGGAAGATAGCTGTTGGGCTCATAGGGGTTCAGTATATATTAATCTCTTTTTGTATGGATTTAAATTTTCCCATAATAATTTTTTTAAATTAGATTGCTATCGCTCCTTGGCCTTTATGCCAAAATCAGGTGTAAAAATTAAATTGCTGTAGTTTGGTTAAAACATTAGTTGACCACAGTCAATCCACATTGGGGGGATTGAGGATATGCAGGGATATAGTTGAAGTAAGGATAACCTTGAGTTGATCGTTGTTAGAAGTGTTCATTACTTTCCACTTTTATGTATGTATGAAATTCTCCATAAAAGAAAAAAGACTACAAATACAAATTCCCTTATGGTAGAGACCTAATCCAATTTATTTATATTAATATCTTGCTATTAGCAGATAATAGGTATGTGTTTAGTTAACCAATCATTATGTTTTTATTGATTTTTTTTTAGAGAGGAGGGGGGAGGGAGAGAGAAACATTGATCAGTTGCTTCCCGCAGCACCCCAGCTGGGGACCGGACCTGAAACCTGGGCTTGTGCCCTGACTGGGAATTGAACCGTGACCTCTGGATCCACAGATGACGCTCAACCAAATGAGCCACAGTGGCCAGGGATTAACCAATCATTATGAAGTTCCAGAAAATCCTAAAGGATTTTACAAATATTAGATTATTTTTGTGGGCGTGGCCAACATTTACATTCAGCAAACATTTAACCTTGAGATTTGTTTTAAACTGCCCACTAGATTTTTAGTAGCAGAAGAGCAGACATTGTCTTTTCATTCACTACTGTGTCCTCCTCGCCTAGCCCAGCCTATATTAAATCCTCGTATTTGTTGAGTATATGTTTATGCAGTTTACACTCTTTCTAATGTTTTTTCTCTCACTCGTCCTCTCAATTCTAGCCCCACAGCATGGAACCACAGGTTACTCTAAATGTGACTTTTAAAAATGAAACTCAAAGCTTTCTGGTTTCCGATCCAGAAAATACAACTTGGGCTGATGTCGAAGCTATGGTGAGCATTAACTTTTGTTTCTCCATCCTTTAAGCATAGATTTTTTTCCCCCAGAGGTAGCTATTTTTAGCAGTGTTGTTTCATAGCTACAAAAAGTCTGTCATATTTACTATTTCTGAGCCTTTTGGAAAATTATTTTTGACAAGGACTCAGTATTCATATAGGAGATGTGTCCCAATAAGGGAACAAATAAATTTCTTTTGAAGAATTTAGAAAGGAAAGGTAAGGTTATGTTTTTAAGTGAGATAGGACTGAGAAAATCTATTAATTTTAGAAACAGCCTGAGGAATGAATTGGTGTGGGCCCCACCCTAATCAGGCTCCAGAGGAATGTTCTCTTGCCTGAGAGCAAATATATTACTGTGGCTTGTGAACCATTAAGGATATAACTTAACATTTTGCAAGAGCCGATTGATTGCTTTTATTGCTAAGTCAGAGATTATCTCAAAGTTGAGCAGAAAAAATGTATACAGGTGCTTAGACAGCAGCTCATGTATTCCTTTTTTATTCCTTTTTCTCTTTGTTTTTTTGTTAATGCTTTTCCTCCTCTTGGTTTGCCCTTTGTACTCTTGTTTGGTTTGCAGTAGTGAATGTTTTACTTCCTGTATAACTTTATCTAATAAACCCTTTGGTAAAAACCTACTTTTACCTGGTTAGTAAAAACCTCTTAACTGGTTATGTGTTATGGCAACTAAAAAGGAAATGAAATGGTGGAGAAACCACAAATTATGGTCTGATCTAGTCCTCTCTCTTCCATCAGGTAACTTCTTTATACTGTTTAGACATTAGACAGATGGTTATCTGGAAAGTTGGATCTTGTTTGTCAAATTATCTGAAAATCAAACACAGTTCATCTTTTATTCCTAGTAGTTTAATGGGCTGACAGCTTGCCTTTTTTCTTTATTGTAAATGTTAAGTCGTAAAAGTGCAAT